AGAAGGTAGTATAGCAACTCTCAGTTTTGTTAGGGTCTGGTCCTGGGGACACAAAGAAGGTAGTATAGCAACTCTCAGTTTTGTTAGCGTCTTGTCCTGGGGACACAAAGAAGGTAGTATAGCAACTCTCAGTTTTGTTAGCGTCTGGTCCTGGGGACACAAAGAAGGTAGTATAGCAACTCTCAGTTTTGTTAGGGTCTGGTCCTGGGGACACAAAGAAGGTAGTATAGCAACTCTCAGTTTTGTTAGGGTCTGGTCCTGGGGACACAAAGAAGGTAGTATAGCAACTCTCAGTTTTGTTAGCGTCTGGTCCTGGGGACACAAAGAAGGTAGTATAGCAACTCTCAGTTTTGTTAGCGTCTGGTCCTGGGGACACAAAGAAGGTAGTATAGCAACTCTCAGTTTTGTTAGGGTCTGGTCCTGGGGACACAAAGAAGGTAGTATAGCAACTCTCAGTTTTGTTAGGGTCTGGTCCTGGGGACACAAAGAAGGTAGTATAGCAACTCTCAGTTTTGTTAGCGTCTGGGGACACAAAGAAGGTAGTATAGCAACTCTCAGTTTTGTTAGGGTCTGGTCCTGGGGACACAAAGAAGGTAGTATAGCAACTCTCAGTTTTGTTAGGGTCTGGTCCTGGGGACACAAAGAAGGTAGTATAGCAACTCTCAGTTTTGTTAGGGTCTGGTCCTGGGGACACAAAGAAGGTAGTATAGCAACTCTCAGTTTTGTTAGGGTCTGGTCCTGGGGACACAAAGAAGGTAGTATAGCAACTCTCAGTTTTGTTAGGGTCTGGTCCTGGGGACACAAAGAAGGTAGTATAGCAACTCTCAGTTTTGTTAGCGTCTGGGAACACAAAGAAGGTAGTATAGCAACTCTCAGTTTTGTTAGGGTCTAGTCCTGGGGACACAAAGAAGGTAGTATAGCAACTCTCAGTTTTGTTAGGGTCTGGTCCTGGGGACACAAAGAAGGTAGTATAGCAACTCTCAGTTTTGTTAGGGTCTGGTCCTGGGGACACAAAGAAGGTAGTATAGCAACTCTCAGTTTTGTTAGGGTCTGGTCCTGGGGACACAAAGAAGGTAGTATAGCAACTCTCAGTTTTGTTAGGGTCTGGTCCTGGGGACACAAAGAAGGTAGTATAGCAACTCTCAGTTTTGTTAGCATCTGGGGACACAAAGAAGGTAGTATAGCAACTCTCAGTTTTGTTAGGGTCTGGTCCTGGGGACACAAAGAAGGTAGTATAGCAACTCTCAGTTTTGTTAGCGTCCTGGGGACACAAAGAAGGTAGTATAGCAACTCTCAGTTTTGTTAGGGTCTGGTCCTGGGGACACAAAGAAGGTAGTATAGCAACTCTCAGTTTTGTTAGGGTCTGGTCCTGGGGACACAAAGAAGGTAGTATAGCAACTCTCAGTTTTGTTAGCGTCTGGGGACACAAAGAAGGTAGTATAGCAACTCTCAGTTTTGTTAGGGTCTGGTCCTGGGGACACAAAGAAGGTAGTATAGCAACTCTCAGTTTTGTTAGGGTCTGGTCCTGGGGACACAAAGAAGGTAGTATAGCAACTCTCAGTTTTGTTAGCGTCCTGGGGACACAAAGAAGGTAGTATAGCAACTCTCAGTTTTGTTAGGGTCTGGTCCTGGGGACACAAAGAAGGTAGTATAGCAATTCTCAGTTTTGTTAGGGTCTGGTCCTGGGGACACAAAGAAGGTAGTATAGCAACTCTCAGTTTTGTTAGGGTCTGGTCCTGGGGACACAAAGAAGGTAGTATAGCAACTCTCAGTTTTGTTAGGGTCTGGTCCTGGGGACACAAAGAAGGTAGTATAGCAACTCTCAGTTTTGTTAGGGTCTGGTCCTGGGGACACAAAGAAGGTAGTATAGCAACTCTCAGTTTTGTTAGCGTCTGGGGACACAAAGAAGGTAGTATAGCAACTCTCAGTTTTGTTAGGGTCTGGTCCTGGGGACACAAAGAAGGTAGTATAGCAACTCTCAGTTTTGTTAGCGTCTGGTCCTGGTGACACAAAGAAGGTAGTATAGCAACTCTCAGTTTTGTTAGGGTCTGGTCCTGGGGACACAAAGAAGGTAGTATAGCAACTCTCAGTTTTGTTAGGGTCTGGTCCTGGGGACACAAAGAAGGTAGTATAGCAACTCTCAGTTTTGTTAGGGTCTGGTCCTGGGGACACAAAGAAGGTAGTATAGCAACTCTCAGTTTTGTTAGCGTCTGGGGACACAAAGAAGGTAGTATAGCAACTCTCAGTTTTGTTAGGGTCTGGTCCTGGGGACACAAAGAAGGTAGTATAGCAACTCTCAGTTTTGTTAGCGTCTGGTCCTGGTGACACAAAGAAGGTAGTATAGCAACTCTCAGTTTTGTTAGGGTCTGGTCCTGGGGACACAAAGAAGGTAGTATAGCAACTCTCAGTTTTGTTAGGGTCTGGTCCTGGGGACACAAAGAAGGTAGTATAGCAACTCTCAGTTTTGTTAGGGTCTGGTCCTGGGGACACAAAGAAGGTAGTATAGCAACTCTCAGTTTTGTTAGGGTCTGGTCCTGGGGACACAAAGAAGGTAGTATAGCAACTCTCAGTTTTGTTAGGGTCTGGTCCTGGGGACACAAAGAAGGTAGTATAGCAACTCTCAGTTTTGTTAGGGTCTGGTCCTGGGGACACAAAGAAGGTAGTATAGCAACTCTCAGTTTTGTTAGGGTCTGGTCCTGGGGACACAAAGAAGGTAGTATAGCAACTCTCAGTTTTGTTAGGGTCTGGTCCTGGGGACACAAAGAAGGTAGTATAGCAACTCTCAGTTTTGTTAGGGTCTGGTCCTGGGGACACAAAGAAGGTAGTATAGCAACTCTCAGTTTTGTTAGGGTCTGGTCCTGGGGACACAAAGAAGGTAGTATAGCAACTCTCAGTTTTGTTAGCGTCTGGGGACACAAAGAAGGTAGTATAGCAACTCTCAGTTTTGTTAGGGTCTGGTCCTGGGGACACAAAGAAGGTAGTATAGCAACTCTCAGTTTTGTTAGCGTCTGGTCCTGGTGACACAAAGAAGGTAGTATAGCAACTCTCAGTTTTGTTAGGGTCTGGTCCTGGGGACACAAAGAAGGTAGTATAGCAACTCTCAGTTTTGTTAGGGTCTGGTCCTGGGGACACAAAGAAGGTAGTATAGCAACTCTCAGTTTTGTTAGGGTCTGGTCCTGGGGACACAAAGAAGGTAGTATAGCAACTCTCAGTTTTGTTAGCGTCTGGGGACACAAAGAAGGTAGTATAGCAACTCTCAGTTTTGTTAGGGTCTGGTCCTGGGGACACAAAGAAGGTAGTATAGCAACTCTCAGTTTTGTTAGCGTCTGGTCCTGGTGACACAAAGAAGGTAGTATAGCAACTCTCAGTTTTGTTAGGGTCTGGTCCTGGGGACACAAAGAAGCTAGTATAGCAACTCTCAGTTTTGTTAGGGTCTGGTCCTGGGGACACAAAGAAGGTAGTATAGCAACTCTCAGTTTTGTTAGGGTCTGGTCCTGGGGACACAAAGAAGGTAGTATAGCAACTCTCAGTTTTGTTAGGGTCTGGTCCTGGGGACACAAAGAAGGTAGTATAGCAACTCTCAGTTTTGTTAGGGTCTGGTCCTGGGGACACAAAGAAGGTAGTATAGCAACTCTCAGTTTTGTTAGGGTCTGGTCCTGGGGACACAAAGAAGGTAGTATAGCAACTCTCAGTTTTGTTAGGGTCTGGTCCTGGGGACACAAAGAAGGTAGTATAGCAACTCTCAGTTTTGTTAGGGTCTGGTCCTGGGGACACAAAGAAGGTAGTATAGCAACTCTCAGTTTTGTTAGGGTCTGGTCCTGGGGACACAAAGAAGGTAGTATAGCAACTCTCAGTTTTATTAGCATCGTTGTTGTATGTATTTAAGGGTCGTCCGTAAAGATTGAGACGAATTTATCTGATTTAAACCCCCATCTAAAGCCGTCGCCTCACGTGGCCACAAAGAAGCGGACATACTTTGTTAAATATCTTACCAAATTTACCCCCCCTCCCCCCTCCAACGAGAATTATAATCATTATTAGGGGTTGGCTGTATCTGATTTTACTAATCTACGACCTCTTGACTAGCTGTACATTATTAATTTATCAGTTCATTTTAAAATTACTGTTTTTTAAAAACAACTGTCCATCTTGATCAAAGTCTGGTTTGGTCTCTTGATCTAATTTCACTTTTCTTTCACACTAGACACTTATCTACCCCTCCCCTTTCCTTTTTTTTGGATGTATTTGTTTTTACAAGCAGGCCAACTTTTAGATTTTTACATTTTCTAAATGAATACTTTTTATAATTAAAAAAAAATCCGGTTGATTAGATCGCCACATTTTGTGCCCTTCTGTTCAATCTGCTATTGACTTCCTGCTATTGACTTATCTGCCCTTCCTAACTTCCCTGACTGCACTAGTCTCCCCTTGTTAGCACTAAGTGCATGGCTTTGAGCTCGCGTCTGCTTTTGTAATGATCAGCATCGGATAAATATTTAGTCAACGGAAGTGACGTCAGCTCGCGTGAATAAGTGTGGTGAGTAAGGAGGAGAGGTACTAGACAGAGACAGGTGTAGACGTGCACTCATTTTAAGACAGCTGTAGACACCCATAAGTTATATATGATTTACTCAGGCTGACAAATTTATCTCCCTTTATAATCTCTAACTTTGAATCCAATCCTAAAAAATGTGCCCCTTATGTTATGGTTGTTAGCAAGGCGAATGTTTAGTTACAACAACATATAGTAATTTAAGAATCCACTTTAAGAATTCTCAATGATGTTTCTGTTGGTTTAGGTATAAAACACACAAGTTTAATAGTTAGGGCTTGGGTTATAATTAATTTTTTTTTCTTAGATCAGAAGTTACTCACACGGTTTGGTACATCTATCCTACTCTACCCGAATCTACTCGACTGGCCTTTGTTTGATACTATATATAGGATGTCTCTTGGGGCTTAGTTTTAACACACTTTTTTTTTGTCTCGTGCCGATTTAGGGAACACTTCAAAACGAGGCTCAGTGGACGTGGCCATGAAGGTGGACAGAAGGTTCAGTACAAACAGCATCAAGTCCGACTTCTCTGATGTAAGTTGATCTAACTGTCCATATGCGTGACTAGTGCTATTTTGTTCTCGTCGTCTGAAGAATTCCACCATATCCTTTATTATTACAGAAGTATTATTTATCTGTCTGAGAGAAATATAATTCACCTCTCTATTTTTAAAATAAAAACCAGTCTGTTAAAGTTAAATAAAAAACCCACGCCCACAAAACGTTTTTGAATTGTAATATAATGACCTCCCTTGAGTGTTTCCTGTTCCATCAAGTCCGATAATTTGAGCGTAAACTTGTAATCGTGCAGTAATCAGCCGGCTCTAAACTCTGTGCTGGCATCCTGTCTTATTTTCATCTTCCCCCATTTTGGCTCGGCCTATATAACTTAGCTGCAGCCGCTGGGAGTTAGTAATGACTTCCCTTTTTTACAAATATCTAAAGCTTACCTCCCTTCGACCTTGATGCTCTCATTTGTCTTACTTACCGTGCCCGATTTATGGGATGATAAAACATCCGTAGGCTTTAGTGACTGGAAATTAAAAGGTTAAAAAAAAGGTTTTTTCTTTCAGCTCTGGTTTTTGTCTGCTGTAGATCGTATTCTCTGTGGCATGTCATTAGCCTAAATCACATATTTCCTGTGGTCAGTCATTAGCCTAAATCAAATATTCTCTGTGGCTAGTCATTAGCCTAAATCACATATTCCCTGTGGTCAGTCATTAACCAAAAACACATATTCTATGTGGTCAATCATTAGCCTAAATCACATATTTCCTGTGGTCAGTCATTAGCCTAAATCACACATTCCCTGTGGTCAGTCATCAGCCTAAATCACATATTTCCCGTGGTCAGTCATTAGCCTAAATCACATATTCTATGTGGTCAGTCATTAGCCTAAATCACATATTTCCTGTGGTCAGTCATTAGCCTAAATCACATATTCCCTGTGGTCAGTCATCAGCCTAAATCACATATTTCCCGTGGTCAGCCATTAGCCTAAATCACATATTCTCTGTGGCCAGTCATTAGCCTAAATCACATATTTCCTGTGGTTAGTCATTAGCCTAAATCACATATTCCCTGTGGTCAGTCATTGGCCTAAATCACATATGCCCTGTGGTCAGTCATTGGCCTAAATCACATATGCCCTGTGGTCAGTCATTGGCCTAAATCACATATGCCCTGTGGTCAGTCATTGGCCTAAATCACATATGCCCTGTGGTCAGTCATTGGCCTAAATCACATATGCCCTGTGGTCAGGATTAGCCTAAATCACATATGCCCTGTGGCCAATCATTGGCCTAAATCATATATGCCCTGTGGTCAGTCATTGGCCTAAATCACATATGCCCTGTGGTCAGTCATTGGCCTAAATCACATATGCCCTGTGGTCAGGATTAGCCTAAATCACATATTCCCTGTGGTCAGTCATTAACCAAAAACACATATTCTATGTGGTCAATCATTAGCCTAAATCACATATTTCCTGTGGTCAGTCATTAGCCTAAATCACATATTCACTGTGGTCAGTCATTAGCCTAAATCACATATTCACTGTGGTCAGTCATTAGCCTAAATCACATATTTCCTGTGGTCAGTCATTAGCCTAAATCACATATTTCCTGTGGCCAGTCATTAGCCTAAATCACATATTTCCTGTGGTCAGTCATTAGCCTAAATCACATATTCCCTGTGGTCAGTCATTGGCCTAAATCACATATGCCCTGTGGTCAGGATTAGCCTAAATCACATATTTCCTGTGGTCAGTCATTAGCCTAAATCACATATTCTCTGTGGCCAGTCATTAGCCTAAATCACATATTTCCTGTGGTCAGTCATTAGCCTAAATCACATATTCTCTGTGGCCAGTCATTAGCCTAAATCACATATTTCCTGTGGTCAGTCATTGGCCTAGATCACATATTTCCTGTGGTCAGTAATTAGCCTAAATCACATATTCCCTGTGGCCAGACATTGGCCTAGATAGCATATTATCTGTGGTCAGTCATTAGTCTAAATCACATATTCCCTGTGGTCAGTCATTAGCCTAAATCACATATTCTTTGATGTAGTACCCCCCCCCCCCATGTTGTATCTATATGAGCCAATGTTTACACTTGTATTAAATAATGAAAGACTATGTTTTCTGTAGAGGACCAAACCTGACCACGCCCAGCTGAACCAGGAGGGTAGATCAAGGAGGAGCCAGGTCAAGAGCACCATCCCCCCACACAGTGAGTCGCATTTTTCTAACTTCTTTCAGCAGACGCTGTGCTGTAAGATACATTAAGCGTGTTAGTTAACGGCTGTTCTGGGGAGAAACAATTCACCATTCTTTAAAGATAGGAGTCATAATATAAACAATTTGAGTTCCAAACAAACTGAAGAAAACAAAGGTGATCTGACTCGTCAACAAGCTAATTCCCTCTCATAAGCAGTTTTAAACGTACTTATAAATAACCAAATAAGCATAGAAAAAATTCGCCTTGGCAAACTAAGATAATGCATGCTGAGTTTAGTTTGTAGTAAATAGCATTATAATTGGTAATGGTTGTTTTTAATTAACCCATTAACTTTGTACTCATATACTAATCAACCACAGCCAGACCTGGTGCCCTAACTTATAAACCTGGTTACGGGCTTCACCCCATCTTATCATTTTTAGATCAGAGAATTTGATTTCATGTTTATCTCATGTGACCTTTGACCTGACGAGACGTGTTCCTCCTCGCTCTTCTGTAGCCCCCGTCAAACTCCCGTCTCGGGCCATGGAGATCCGGCTAGGTGACGCCTCGAGCATCTCCTCACAGCGGTCATCCCCCACCCCCGTTATTATCAAACCCATTAAACCTAAGCCAAAGTCTAACGCTAACGCTAAGAACAGTCCAAGTAAACCGGCCTGGGGGGCCACCAAGCCAGCGCCCCCGCCGGTTAGTGCATTGAACAAGGGACGCGACTCGAGCGCGAGTAAGTTCAGTGTTGTACCCGTGTGATTTTCTCGATTGCTTCCCTTAGTTGCCAGTTTGATCCCTTACATTTCGCCTGATTTTTAAATTTTATTTTGCCAGCTTTCCCAAGTTGAGACTATTTATACACGTTACTGATATTTCTTACCGACGTGTGTTACCCCACTAAAATAAAAAAATAAATAATTAAATAGCACATAGCCAGAAGCCTCTACACTTGTTTTTATATGTGCTTGCGCTTATTGATGATGATGTGTTGAGTGTGATTTTATGTTTTTAATGTATGTTACCCAGTGTCAGACTTTGTGACACCCTCCCCCCCCTGATCATTACACCTTGTCCTCTCGCCTCTACCACCATCAACCACAACCCCCACAACGACAGAGGCGGAAACCAATTTTCTCTCCGCCACTGAGTTTTAATGTCACGTGCTGCTAATTAGCTGCTTGATTAATTGCCTCTCATTGTTCTTTTTTTCTAATAATTATTCTACACAAGACACTGAAACCTAGATGACATACCCCATAATGAGGCGAATATGCCCAATCGACCTAATTGTATTCCTTTGTTTGACAACATAAATACTTATGATAACCTGACCCAATTAACATGACCTGATTCAGAGAATCTAAGTACAACACGATGTAACTGTCGTAAAGAATGATGGATGATTTGCTTTGTGCGTGGTACTAATCCATGTTTTAGACATTTTGTGTGTGTGTTCTCAATGATGTGATCACACAAAATGAGACATTATTTTGTGTGTATTTTTACACTGTAGGACTTTGTTCTTTATAAATTTCAGTCTAGCCTGTATTTTAAATCAAAGACGTTGTAAGAATAGCATGTTTTATTTCTCTTTGAATAGTTCTGATATATGAAAAAGCTGTGGATTAGATTCTTGTAAACACGGTTGAACTATCTGTATACACATAGCGACGACACATTTATCGTTGGGGGAATTACTTTTGTTGGTACGGGGGGGGGGCTATTGTGATCTACCTGGCCCTTTTAGCCGTGTCACATGACCTACACGGGACCTACCAGCTGGGTCAGGTAGCAGTCAATCAATGCTGCCCGAGGGCCGTGATTTATTGGACAGTCTGATCGCTGTGATATGGTAATCAACTAGGATCGATGCGGGATAATTCATTGATCTCGGTGCCAGCATGTTTGATTTGTCGGATTGGTGTCGCTGTGTGTGATACGTGGGATCGGTGGGTTCCGTTCCGGTGCTTGTGTGTGATAGGTTGGTGGTGTGTTGCGGTGATACTTATAGGTGGATAGGCTAGTGGTGTGTTGTGGTGATACTTACAGGTGAATAGGCTAGTGGTGTGTTGTGGTGATACTTACAGGTGGATAGGCTAATGATGTGTTGTGGTGATACATGCGGATAGGCTTATGGTGTGTTGCGGTGATACTTACAGGTGGATAGGGTAATAGTGTGTTGTGGTGATACTTACAGGTGGATAGGCTAATGGTGTGTTGTGGTGATACTTACAGGTGGATAGGCTAATGGTGTGTTGTGGTGATACATGTGAATAGGTTAGTGATGCTAAGTAGTGGTATTTAATAATATACGACTGTTTACACATATCCTTTAGAAGGCTCATTCTTTTAATTATGTGTCTCGGCTAATTTTGGTTGCATGGTGACGCGGGGTGGAGTTATTACGTCGTCGTAATACATTTAGTCACTGGTTAGAGTTTGGTGATACATTTAGTCACTGGTTAGAGTTTGGTGATACATTTAGTCACTGGTTAGAGTTTGGTGATACATTTAGTCACTGGTTAGAGTTTGGTGATACATTCAGTCACTGGTTAAAGTTTGGTATCGTGGTCATACATTTAGTCACTGGTTAGAGTTTGGTATCGTGGTGATACATTTAGTCACTGGTTAGAGTTTGGTATCGTGGTGATACAGTTAGTCACTGGTTAGAGTTTAGTGATACATTTAATCACTGGTTAGATTTTGGTGATACATTTAGTCGCTGGTTAGAGTTAGGTGATACATTTAATCACTGGTTAGATTTTGGTGATACATTTAGTCGCTGGTTAGAGTTAGGTGATACATTTAGTCACTGGTTAGAATTTGGTGATACATTTAGTCACTGGTTAGAGTTTGGTATCGTGGTGATACATTTAGTCACTGGTTAGAGTTTGGTATCGTTGTGATACATTTAGTCACTGGTTAGAGTTGATATTGTTGGTATCGTCTCATTGTTTAACTTGATATCGATGCCGTAATTAATGTTAATCTCACCCACCCCATAAGTTTGAGAAGTTTATCCAGTCAAGTTTATTCCATTGGGTGAGACAATTTCAGGAGATCCCTTGTGTGACAAAGGTTCCAAGGCGACACGATAACTGTTTGTCTGCGTCATTCCGCGGCCCTATCGATTTAGAGTTTTGTGTAGGGATCGATAGTTCAACAATAATTATTGATTTACTTAATGGATAATTGAGCATGAAGAGTATCTTGATTAAAACCTGTGAAATCTATATTTAGTTTAAGATCTGGTAAAAAAAATATCTATGGCGGTAGGTTTCTTGTGTACTGCATATTGGGATATCTTCCAAAGGGACAAGTTGTGGTCAAGTTGAAAGCTATATTACAATTGAAGTAGGTTATAGTAGTGTCGGTGTAATAAAAGTTATAATACAACTCTAAGAGTTACAACGGTATAGTTGTACATAAATGTGCTGTGTGGACAGGTGTTTTTATACCTGTCTGGTATCCATTTCAGGTGGTGAATGTGTTAAAACGCCGTTGTCAGGTAAAGTTACAGGTGTTGAGTTTCTGGTGACTGCATTAGTACTTGAGCTATGAACAGCTCCATCAGCTAGCTGTTACACCAAATGTCGCCGTCTGCTGGAGTTTATTGAGTAGACTGTTGATGTTGTTCCGTGTGTGACAGTACCTAGTGATGTTGTTTCGTGTGCGGTAGTTACTGGTGATGTTGCGTGTGTAGCAGTTACTGGTGATGTTGTTCAATGTGAGCTGCTTTGTTGAGGAAGGATACAACGGGCGCTAGGTTGATAGTGCTGTTTTGTACTGCTTTGTTTCTGGATTTCTTTATTGCTTTGGATTGCTCGTTTAAAAACTTTGTTATGATATCCATAAACACGTCATTAGACTTTAGTAAAACATTAACAACGAACATGCTGTGGATAATGTGGATAAAGTATCCAGATGTAGTGCGTGTGTATCCAACTGATATCTTTAAACACCCAGCACATAGTGGTTAATTAACGCAGTTAATCATCGATCTGTTTGGTCGATACATGGACATCGATTTTATTGGTGCCAAATAAAGATCCGCTTCCAGTTTTTTAACTATTCAGTGACTCATGGGGTGACGCGTCTAGTTTATTTAATCTGGGGTCGTGGCGTCATAGCGTGACGCATCCTGAGTCACTTGTGTAGACGAGGTGAGTGGTGAAACGTGTTATCCACTGGACCCATCTTCTCCTGTTGATCTGCTCGTATCAGGTGGGCATATGGTAGTTGGAAACTAGCAGGGTCGTTGTGTGTTGGTTGTTTCATTTGTTATGGTCAGAGAATGGTGATGTACAGACAAGTTGGTCTTGCACACCAGGAAAGCTACCGTTATCTAGGCTAGCTGCTACAGCCTGACCCCCCCCCCCCCGGGCCTGATCAAATGACACACCGTTTACCCCGAGTAGACCCGTGCAGGTAGAGCCGCATAAGTGCTGACCTCACTGCAGATGGCGAGCCCGTGAGCGCATGTTGCACTCACGCCTAAACTCCCAGCCGTCAGGACGTCGTAGAAATGCTGTAACTTTGGACTGGTGTCTGGGGAATGGCACTGTGAGTTGAGAGGTTCGACCTTGACCTTCATCTTGTTACCACTCGGTTTTGAGTATTTGAAAGACGGTTGGTTGTGCTTACAATAGAGCTCACGATCTGACTGATACACCAGTCCATTGATAAAATACGGGTTTTCCAATCATATTTTCAGTAAGAGAAAATACTTTCAATTAAGCATGAAGGTTAACTTGGTGCATGCGATACAACACTGTTGTGTGTTGGTCAGTTGCAGGGTATAGTTTACGAGACTGGTGGGATGAAGGCCTCGTTTAGTCCACGGATACCATGGGTGAGAAATAATCTACTCCACGGAGAACATATTGAAGACATGCGGTACAGTTATCTGCCCCTGCATTCTTTATGCTCGGTTATCGCGCTTGGCCCCTCACGGCTCATAACACGATGCTGGGTCATGCAACGCCATGCACGTGTAGAGGGGAGGTGGAGGGACTCAGATGTTGTTTTAAAAAAAAATCGGAGGCACGCCTCATATTTAGGATGATCTGACTCGAAGCCTAGGGGTGTGAGTGGGTGAGGTGGGGGGGGGTGCGCGGGGCTGTGAGGGGTGGGGCGAGTGAGAGCGGCTATTTTTATTCTTTTTTTTTCCGGCCTAGATTTTATACAAACCTTTTTTTACCTGAAGTTTATCCTAGATCACGTGACCGATGAGGTAAAGCATATGCACCTTTCTCGGCCCTCCATTTCCTCATTGGAGGGACAAGGGCTAGCTGGTGCCGTAAATAAGTGAACTCAAGTTTCGTGTAGTTTGTTCATTCTATGGAGCTACCTCGGTCATGATACATTCTTTATTTGTGATTGAAGATGTGCTAGGTAGAAAAACGTGTTTGTTAAGTGTGAAAGACATGGAGACTTAAAATAGGAAGAGCAAACTGAAGCGCATATTTCAAATCATGTCTTTGACTGAGCTCAAGTTTTCCAGCACTGTAGACTATGTTCTGGACATATTTGTCTACGCTGCCGTTCTCTTTCTGACAGCGCACCTTTTGATACCTTTGTCATACCTGCTCAGGTGGACGTGGGGCAGGTGGGGCCAGAAAGTTAATGGCACCAACCATGGTCATATCGATGGTCATCCGGAGGTCAAGCTGACCAACAATAACAGCGAGGACAGGAAGTGGACCAACGCTAATGTTTGTAGGACTGAGCGAC